TCACGTCCTCAGTTTTGAGCGGATATTTAACGATGTAAGGTTTCGCCAAGTTATCGCAATACCTATCTTTTTGACGCATTTTAAAAAAGTCCCAACTTTGCCGCAAAGGCGAAACAATGAACGCGATACCAACAAATCGGAAGGTCACGTGCCAAATGGCAAATAGATCAAAACGTGTTCCCTGTTTCTCAAGCACAAAGGGTGCACGAAACGTACTCGCAGGTACAGTTGAACGCAAATAAGCGTCTCAGTTGTTACTTCGCTGTGTCTGAAAAGCGCACCCTTTTCGCAAACGGGGACTGTGCAACGATTGCAGAGACCTTTGTGCGCCCGGTAACTACAACAAAAACATTCTAGTGAAGGCCCAACGCCAAGAAGACATACATGCACTGAAGTCCAAGAAAAAAAGTTGGACGACCTTTAAGCTTCGCCTTTAACAGTTGAACGCGATAGCGAAATCCGGCACCTAGTGCACCCTTCAACCGCTAAGTGCATACTTATTAATATGTTTTGTTACATGCACACGCACGCACACAAACACGCACGCAGTAGATTGGACCAGCACGCGCTGTGATCGCCCAACGGGCTCGTTTTCGTCGTGACACCTGTCTACCGCATTTCGTGACCTTGAGCACTTTTTTTTCCTCGAACGCACGGCTTTTTCAGTGTGATTGCGCGCGCACGCGTGGACAAGTAGTGGCCTTCCGCGGCTATCTCGGTAACTTGAATTTTCGGTCACAGACGCATAGACGATATTTCGCTCACAACCAACGGCGCTAACGCCGGCGCCTGGTTTTCTGCGACACGAGCTCTTTAACTATATAGTGTTAAAACTAAAGTAGCACCAACTGCACCCCTTCGCCTCTACATCCTCTAGCAGCAACCACAGCAGCGCCTCTAGTGTGCACCAAGAAACTGCGAATGCAAAAGCACGCGGGCGCACTGGATGTGCCAGGCGCTTGGGCAGCTTGGGCACTGCTGCGCCATGAGTTCATCGAGCGGCCGTGCCTCGGGTATGCTGATAAGGTACGCCGATGGCGTCTGTTCATGGAGCGCGCACTCGCGAAAGCGAACAAACAATATGGCGTTCGCGATACCTTCACAAAAGCTAGTGTGTCATGCTACAGATTCTTAGCACCACCGAGTTTACACGGAAAGTAGTGGCGTTGCCATCGAGAGCATCACCACTGAGCGCGTCTGCACGCAAACGGTGGGCTATCGCGTTGAGTATTGCGTACTTGCAGTGATGTTTTTAGGGGCGAAGCTCCTTGAGCCGTGGGTTGTGCGTCCGCGATGTATGTAGTAGTAGTAGTAGTAGTAGTAGTAGTAGTAGTCACCCCTGGTTTCTACCTTGGAATGTCCGCTGGATGGCGGTACTTCTATATAATGAATATATGATGAAAATATACGAGATAGCGGTACTTGTAGTGTTCATTATACGGACAGACGGACACACGAACGAATATACAGACAAGCAGACGCACGCACGGACGAACGGAAACACAGACAGATGCACGGACGGACGGACGCATGGAAGGACGCACGCATGGATGAACACACGAACAGACGAACGGACGAACGCAGGGACGGACGCGCGGACAGATGGACGCACGGACATACAGATGGACGGATGCACGGATGAACGCACGAATGGACGGACGCACGCATGGATGGACGGATGGACAAACGCACAGATGGACGGACGCACGAACGGACGGACGGAAGCAAGAATGAACGGGCGGACTGACGGACGCTTTGCCCCACTCATCATCATTCACTCCGTGGATGTGCTGTGATTTCTTTGCCACTGCATGCCACTTGCTTATATAGACGTCACATCGTCGTATTTAACGTTACTTTTCATATTTTTTTCTTTCTCAATAACTCTTTCGGTGCATCGCCTATAACCGCAGCGCCCAAATGAGCTCTAACAGAACGATGTGCACGCGCCCATCTTTGCGGCCAGGAGCCATACAGCCCCTCAACTAGCGTCGTTTACTATCTGTTATGCACGCGAAGGGAGAGGAGCCTGCACATTGACACGAATGGTGCTACGTTAGTTTTTCTTTTTTTTCAAGGACTTTAACACGCGCATGCTATGAGCGCTGCTGCCCCACCGCTGCTCCGATACTCTGAAAAAATTACTTGGCGGCCGCGGGGTGGCGCGACAGTCTACGAAATTTGCTAATAGCGTCTATGGGAGCTTCAACGCTGGGCGTTTCAGTGAGTATGGAAATTATAGGTAGTGCACGGGTTTGTCTAATCTTTATACGTCTGACTCCGTTTGGTTCACGTGGGTTGAAACTGTTTTGTCACAATACCAAAATCAGAAAATGTTCAGCAGTTGCGCTGCCCCACCTTAATATTTCAGGCTCACCATTCCACATCGGTTGACGAAGTTCAAAAGGATTCGTTCTTTTCTTCAAAACGAATCCGAAAAACAGCAATTAACGGAGCTACAAGTGTGATTCGAGGCCCGCAAGTACGAAGACTAGGCAATTCCGAGTGTCACCCATTATACCATTGGTCACTGAACGATCCCAGCGCCGGATCCCCCTGTAGGTGATTTTAAAAAACTCTATGGCTGTCACTTGTACTGCTTTCTGATTGATTGATGGATTTGTGGGGTTGAACGTCTCAAAACCATCATATGGTTATGAGAGACGCCGTAGTGGAGGGCTCTGAAAATTTCGACCACCGGGGGTTCTTCAACGTGCATCCAAATCTGGGCACACGGGCCTACAACATTTCCGCCTCGATCGGAAATGCAACCGCCGCAGCCGGGATTCGATCCAACGACCTTCGGGTCAGCAGCCGAGTACCTTAGCCTCTAAACCACCGTGGCGGGGCTTCTTGCACTGCTTTCTGTGCCACCGCTTATGCTCTGTGTTTAGGTGATAAAATCAATTGGCGAAGCAAGGGCTCAACCACGCAAGGCTTGAAATAGCGAAACTGGATTATTTTCAATACAATTATGGTGGCATTAAAGTTGTTTCTAGAGGCCTTAGATGGGTAACGCAGGGTGTTTATAGGTCGTTGCGAGGCTTTAGCTGGGTGATGTTACCTTGTTTCTATGTTGATTTCTAGCACAGAGAAGTAACACTTCAACCACAGGCAGGCACAAACACAACACGGTTGTCCAAACTCCAGAGACACAAACTCGAGCCGAAACCAAGCGATCGCATCTCTCATATATCCACATGCACGTTACTGTTAATGTAGTCCTTCCGTCGCTCCGGGGCCTTCTCACAACCACTGCTGCCTTTCCCGTTACTTAGTATATCTTGATTTTTTCTGAAAACCACTTGTTGTTAGGTGGACATGTCATGATTTCTTCAAGGCATGGTGAAATTTCATCGTTAAATCTTTCTACACGCACTCTCTCTTTTTTTTCGCTTCGAACAACGGTTGCACGTTGTCCGTATTTATAGCGTGCTGTTATGTCTGTTTCAATTTTGCGAGTCAAACAACTTCCAGACAACCCAGTGACATAAAACCCTAACCGGTAAAATCACAAAGGGGTGAAACAGATTTGCCTTGGCGGTGATTTTACTTTTATTTTTACGTACATAAAGTTCAGTTCCACCTGTTAAATATAATTTTTAAGAGGAGAGCGGGCTCTCAACTCATGTAAAAGCATTGCTCTTTTCAGTGTTCTGCGAAAGTGGTTGAGCAAGAGTTGCGATTTCCAGTCCCATGAAGATGAAGGATCTGTATTTCACACAAGGTTACACACTTCGAAAAACACAGGCACGAACAATAAACAAAGTTGAATACACTATACTTGATTGATATGTAAGATTTGTCATTCCAAAAGCAACATATGATTACGAGAGACGCCGTAGTGGAGGGCTTCGGAAATTTCGACCACCTGAGGTTTTTAACGTGCTCCCAAATCTGAGTGCCCGCGCCCCCACCATTCTCGCCTCCATCGAAAATGCAGCCGCCGCAGCCGGGATTCGATCCCGCGACTTGCGGGTGAGTAGTCCGAGTACCTTCACCACCGTGGCTGGGCTATCGAACTATACTTAGCTTTTAAGCAGTTGACATATATAGATTTTGAAAAATAAATTACATCGATGAACCTGCATGGATTGCCACACACCTTGCACTCCCCCTTTCAGCCTGCACGTTAGGGATCAGGCCCTCCTCCCCACCCTTGTGATTTACGCCACCGTGAGAACCTTCGCGATCAGTTAAAAAACACAAGATGGTCGAAGTTTCCGGAGCCCTCCACTATGGCGTCTATCATAACCGTACCGTGGTTTCTTTTACAAACGCTGTGAAGGTGCGGTTATTCAGCTTTTTTATACAAGCAGTTTAATTTGAACAGCAGCTGCGAATTGAAATTTCAGAGGTTAATAAGCTGTTGCACGCAATGGTTCATTTTCTAGATATGTATACGACAAAGAACGCCATAGGCGCGCGCGATAACGTAGCCACGAGCGAAACGCGGCGAAAACGGGATGCGAAGTGAGTGCATTCGACCCGCCGGTTAGGCAGACTGGAAACAAAAATTTACTAGTGAAACTAACGCGCCCTCCATCTGTCGTTAACTGCAGCAAGCATGTCACTTTAAACGTGGCGTCCGAAATAGCGGGCGCGCGGCGTGTTAAACCCGCCGCGCGCCCGCAATCTCAGAGGCCATGCTTTAAATGCTTGGCGGCACTGACCTCGGTCCAAGCAAGCCAAGGCCACGCGTCGGAGTGTTCGAGTCAAAGGGGCTGACGGTTGTACATACACTAAATAGGCCGTATTAGAACTGAAATCTGGCTCAGTTGAAATTTTTTCGTATTTTAGGCTGCGCAGCGATCTCAAGGACCAGGACGGAGAATCAGTAGAGCACAGAAAATTTCGGAAGATTTTATAAGACCACTCACTGCTTGGCCGATCCCCCACAGTGTGGGTATGAGCTTCAAAAGGTGAACAAGAACACAGCGCTGAAAAATCTGGAAAGAGTCTGGGCCAAATCATGGAAGGAATAGCTGAGGCATGTTTACCTTTGTGGACAGTTTCGGCCGATCGTCTATCGCCCGCGTGAGGAGGTTGACCTGGACGCCAATGTCGGAGTTGTGAGTGCCCCGTGTCTGCTGGATGCTGATGACGTGCTGACATTTCGATTCGCACACTTTCACGCCGGCCCGGTTCTTCCGAAACGTTCTGTTCCATTGTGCCGAGCCGGGGCAGGGTTTCTGCGACGTGTTCGCTGTATTTCGCAATGCCCTGCATAGAACAATGCGGCTGCTTTAGACTTATACCATAAATATTCAATCGAAAAAGTAAGTAATAGAAGAATAGTAAAAAGATAAATAAAAGACAGCACTTGCCGCACAGAAGTGACTGGAATAAGAGAGGAGAAATAGGATAGATAGGGGACATGGTCGAAGGAGTTCAAGGACGGGGTACCGATCGGGGAGAGCTACGCGGCGCCAGGATATCGCGAGATCCGGTCAGCGAGAGCTACGCTGGCGTTGGAGATTGTACACGAGATAACTGTTCAGCACGGAATCTACCAGCTTTCCTGCGAGACAACTGTTCAGCACGGAATCTACCAGCTTTCGCTGCAACATATTGTGAGACGTTCCTCTCCGCGAAGGTGAATGAACAAGGGTGCGCTTTTTCTTGCCGCGTCTCACGTCTTCATCCGGTGACGTAAGCAAAAAAATTTGTTTCGACTTGTAGGGAGGGAGTCGCGTTTTTGGTCTGAAGTGGGTGCCGCGCAGGCAAGAGCGGTGCCGATGGGTACTTTGTTCGCTGTATGCATGGCAAAAAATTATTACGGGGAAAAAAGGCACATGCATGCTTTGCCACCGCCTGTCTACGCTATGGTCTCTTTATTTTGATGCGCCGCTCTGTTTAGATGTACTCATTGACCGCCTAGCACAAAGATGTAACGTATATCTGAGGTTGTTGCGCTAAGTGGATGGTTAGTATGCGACACAGGGATGGTAGAAGCTTCAACCACAATCGATTCGATACCCTGCGACTAAATTAAAAACGTGTTTTCAAAGTGCCCTTTATGCTTAGGGTATGTTTGTTTAAAGTTTCCTATTTCAGTAGCGCATTCTTACTCTTTTTGCCGCATCCTCCGTTTAAATGGCAATACACCACGCCTTGTCTGGTTTTCGGCGCCCTCCTAGCGATTCGTGAAGGTGCATGACAGTGCATCCATGTAATAATATTATCTGAGGACATCTAATAATTATGATACGATGATGTGTTTTTATATCAATCCCTGTCATATCTTCCAGCTCATTTTCCCCCAATTGAATCGCTGGTGGTAGAATTTCAGGCTGGCTCGTTTAACTTGGAATGACCCTATTGTTAAATCGGCTGTTTTGTAAACGATATATAACTTGCTCGTTAGAGTCCTTGCCCAGCTTCGTTATCTCAAGAGTGTCTGAATTAAGATAGCCTAATTATACAATTAACCAGGACAAAATAAAATGTGCTGCTTAGTCCGTGCAATAGTCAGCAACATGAGTTTGGTCGTGTCGACGAAGAGTTGTCCGCATATCTTTAAGCATTGGCTAGGGTTAACTGTGGAACCCTGTATATTACTGAATTAAGTAAACGTAGCGCACTAACAATATTTTTCATTTTTTTTCCCTTTTTACTCGTTATTTCTGTCTCGTTTATTATCCCGAAGCATAGGTACAACGGTTTGTGAGGGGCGCTGCAGGTAAGGACAAAAAATTTATTTAGCCCTGGCTTCTCCTTGACAACAGCCAAAGTGCTATACACGAGTGTTTGTGCACTCTTTTCTCGCCGAAGCGCAGCCGTCGAGAGCAGGATACGAACCAGAGACTTCATGCTCTATGCTCTAGCACCACACTGAAGCCACGATGCCACCAGGTGCGCAGGCAGGAAATTTTGTGTGTGCAAGGATCCGGGAGGGGGCATTAAACCATTTTTCATGCATGTTCGTGCGTGTTTGTATATGCGCGCGCATTAATACAACTGAAAAAGTGAACATATTGGTGAGATGGAGTAGCGCTTCGAACACCCTATACCCTTCTAACACTCTCCCCCCCCCCCCTCCCGCCCGACACACATCATCATCATCATCATCATCAGCCTGACAACGTCCACTGCAGGACAAAGGCCTCTCCCATGTTCCGCCAGTTAACCCGGTCCTGTGCTTGCTGCTTCCAATTTATACCCGCAAACTTCTTAATCTCATCTGCCCACCTAACCTTCTGTCTCCCCCTAACCCGCTTCCCTTCTCTGGGAATCCAGTCAGTTACCCTTAATGACCAGCGGTTATCCTGCCTACGCGCTACATGCCCTGCCCATGTCCATTTCTTTTTCTTGATTTCAGCTATGATATCCTTAACCCCCGTTTGTTCCCTAATCCACTCTGCTCTCTTCTTGTCTCTTAAGGTTACACCTACCATTTTTCTTTCCATTGCTCGCTGCGTCGTCCTCAATTTAAGCTGAACCCTCTTTGTAAGTCTCCAGGTTTCTGCTCCGTAGCTAAGTACCGGCAAGATACAGCTGTTATATACCTTCCTCTTGAGGGATAGTGGCAATCTACCTGTCATAATTTGAGAGTGCTTGCCGAATGTGCTCCACCCCATTCTTATTCTTCTAGTTACTTCAATCTCGTGGTTCGGCTCTGCGGTTATTACCTGCCCTAAGTAGACATAGTCTTTTACAACTTCAAGTGCACTATTACCTATCTCAAAGCGCTGCTCTTTGCCGAGGTTGTTGTACATGACTTTCGTTTTCTGCAGATTAATTTTAAGACCCACTTTTCTGCTCTCCTTGTCTAACTCCGTAATCATGAGTTGCAATTCGTCCCCCGAGTTACTCAGCAATGCAATGTCATCGGCGAAGCGCAGGTTACTAAGGTATTCTCCATTGACTGTTATCCCTAACTGTTCCCATTCTAGGCTTCTGAAAACCTCCTGTAAGCACGCGGTAAACAGCATTGGGGAAATTGTGTCCCCCTGCCTTACACCCTTCTTGATTGGTATTCTGTTGCTTTCTCTATGAAGCACTATGGTAGCAGTTGATCCCCTGTAGATTTCTTCCAGAATGTTTATATATACTTCATCTACGCCCTGATTCCGCAGTGTTTGCATGATGGCTGATATTTCTACTGAATCAAACGCCTTCTCGTAATCTATGAAGGCTATGTATAGTGGTTGGTTATACTCTGAGCATTTCTCTATTACCTGATTGATAGTATGAATGTGGTCAATTGTTGAGTAGCCTGTTCGAAATCCTGCTTGTTCCTTTGGTTGATTGAACTGGAAGAGCTTTCGAAGTTGATTAATAGACGTAAAGTATGCGATGTAAGAAGGTATAACATGGAGAGAATTGAACACGCTCTGAAAAACGGAGGAAGTGTCAAAGCATTGAAGAGGAAACTTGGGATAGGCAAAAGTCGGATGTATGCACTAAGGGACAAAGAAGGCAAAATAACTACCAATATGGATAGGATAGTCAAGATAGCGGAGGAGTTTTACAAGGATCTGTACAGTAGCCGAGACAACCACGACCTTAATACTATAAGAACTAGCAGTAACCCAGATTACACCCCACCAGTAATGATAGAAGAAGTCAGAAAAGCTTTGGAGAGCATGCAAAGGGGCGAAGCCGCTGGTGAGGATCAGGTAACATCAGATCTGCTGAAAGATGGAGGACAGATTGTGTTAGAAAAACTAGCCACCCTGTTTACGAGGTGTCTCCTGGCAGGAAGAGTACCAGAGTCTTGGAAGAACGCTAACATCATCTTAATACATAAGAAAGGAGATGACAAGGACTTGAAGAATTACAGGCCGATCAGCTTGCTCTCTGTAGTATACAAGCTATTTACAAAGGTAATTGCTAACAGAGTAAAGAAAACATTAGAATTCAATCAACCCGACACACAGTCTGGGTATTAATCCGTTACTGCAGCGAACTGGATAGAAGTACGGTCATAAACGTATATCATCAGTTTCCAACTATATCCTATGTTCTTAGTTAGCACCGAAAGCAGATCTTACGTCCAGAGTGGTGTACACTCCCCCCCCCACACACACGCACACGCACCCCCCCCCCCCCCCCCCCCCACACACACACACCTGTAGTCTTTGAGCGCAGCCGACGAGGAGGAAGAGGAGGCGATCCTGGAGCCCGTGTAGAACTTGAGCCGGTCCAGTACCCGGCCCAGCTCCTGGCGCGTCACGGCGTGCAGCGCCTTCTCGTCACGCAGCGTCGCCTCCACCGAGCAGCACGCCTGCGCAACCGAGCACACCAACGGAGTTGAGAAACTGTGTCGCGTGCACACGCCCACACTCTCCCGCGTCGCCTCGACGCAACGGCGACGATGCCGGAGACCAGCCGCTGAGCTGACGAGCGTTGTTTGCGCCAACTGCGCGGCCTCCCGCGCAAATAATGAGAGGCCTCCGATGGGCAACAGGGAGCTGCCACTGAAATGTAGCTGCTGATGGTGTACGGTCATCCTCTTTCCTCACTGAACCGTTCGGATGCGAGCGTTAAAAAAACCGGAGATCACGACTGTGGAAAAAGAACATCCCACTTAAAAACCTTCAAATTTATTCCAGACCCATGTATACAAAACTTCAAAAGGGTTTTCTTTGTGTTTCTTGCGGTCAAAGGACTTCTTAACTCTATACGGCGTAATATCCGTCAGTAATTCGATTTGTTCCTCGAGGGTGGGAAGCGTACTCATACTTTAATCGCCCGACACCTGGCGCAGGAAACCAAGCTCCGGGATTATTGTTCAAAATTACTGCCTGTCGTTCCATATAAGCTCCTATTGCGTATGGGAGCCCGAGGTGCTTACATCGTATTCATTATGACCTTTTCTGTCTCTCAATACAGTATTCGTGTGGTTAATGGTGGCCCTTCCGGACGTCGTACACCATATTGATTCTTATTTCGTAAATCTCACAAGACGCACCAAAAATTGTCGAGCTCTGACAATATCATAGAAGTGACTTCTGTCAAGCAGGTGCGGGCGTGCGGGTTTACCATTCACTCTGACCTTCAGAGCCCCGAGACATTTAAAAAGAAGAAGGCGTTGAAATGTTTTTGATTGTTCGAAAATGAACAAGAAATATTAAAAATAACAAAAAAGATACAGTTCAGTAGCAGACATGCATTTTAATTATAGTATCGAAATAGCGTTGCTCTCCAGCAGTAGATACTTCCCTGATCATCATACCGGGGTTATGGCCAATACTCACCTATTCTACAGCATCCTTGCACGCTTTGAAAATGTACATTGTCGTCTTTTATGAAAGGGAACATGTGAGCGCATGGTCTGCGCTCTGCGGTGGCTGCCGATACAGGACCATCAACCCACAGTAAAAGAAAAAAAAATTGGCTTTTGGCGTCATATATTTACAAACAAAACAACGAGTTATGCCCACAAGTGCGGCGAGATATTGTAGGCAACCGTAGTAGAAAGCAGGTCACGTGATCACATGTTCCCTTTCATAAAGAACGACATTGTACTCGCACAACACATGCTCCGGAGCAAACACTGGTGGTAACGCTGAAATTCGGGATTCACACGAGGCTCTGATTTGAGATATTTTTCCCCCAATCAACGGATGATCACGAGACTGTTATACAAGATGCGTACAAAAGCGCGGGAACTCGCCTGCTGAAGCGAGCGGATCTGCGCTTCGTAGCTTCGCAGCTTCAGTCCTGCCTCCCGTCGGCTTGCCTCCAAGCGTTGCACAGCATCCTCCATGAGGGCGCATTGTACGCATTCGGTGCACTGTAACCGCTGGGCGAACTCCAGGGCCGTGGGGACATCGCCGCTGACGCCCGTCAACTGGTCCGACGATGGAGGTAACGGAGAGCCCCCGGTCATCGAAGACAGCTCAGAACTCTCGTTCTTGCTCTGCAAAGAAGCGCAAAAATGTGCCGTGTAATGGCTTCATTTAGCTTACCTTGCCGCACTTTACATGTGTATGAGAAAAGGAAACCTTGACATTGAATCGAATGTGATTAGATAGTCCCAAAACCGAATCGAATAAAGCTAATATCGAACTGTTTTCTGTCAGCAAACAGTTGTTCTTGCGATTGATATGAAGCGATGTTCACGTCATAGTTCTAAATTTAGCAATTTATCCTCAGAAGGAGCGTGAGACACATAAAGTAATATATACAAACAGTTTTCTGAGGTTATCGCTTGCAAAAGCTGTTTCGCTTAGTGGTTTCTGCTCGCTTTGAGGCGAAGCTTTTACGTCTCCATTTTCAAGGTCGCCTTGGCAAGGCGGGAACTGCTGGGGCTTCAATACTATGCGTGTTTATATGAATGACTACACTTTCCACGCCAGAGCGTACGCAATTCGCGCTTCAACAGGCCGCAAGGAACAGCCACCATTCGTTGTTCGTACTGCATCGCAGGAAAGCTATCACTACAATTCTGAAAAGGGTCTATGCATACCTTAAAGAATGGTTTAAAAATGTCTCAATAATTGAAAAGACAATAGCTAGCACGTTTTATTCAGCAGGGTGCCTTGTCTTGATTACTGATGGCGAACTTATAGTTATAGTTACGTGGATGCATACTACGCCTGCAGCTTGGTGACTAAAAGTGAACGTGCACCTTTCTAAATATTTTATAGAATCAAAATTCTCGATCCTGTTCGTTGTCTAGGATTTACTGTACCATCTGTCTCGATTGTCCGGTGGCTGGGCGTTGTGCTGCTGAACTCTATCGATGTCATGTGCTTGAGTCTCGACGGCCGCTGCGGTCGTACTTACATTGGGAGTGAAATGCGAAAATGCTGGTGTGCTTAGATTTTACATGCACGACAAAGAAGCCAACGTGGTCATTTTCAAACAATGAAGACTATATCTGGCGGTTAACCTGCCTGCCTCCAACATTACATTTATCTTTCACGCCTTTTCATTGATGTAGAAGTTTTCATATGACCATTTCTAACGTTACTCGAAACCGGAAAGGGGGGAGGGCAGGGTTGTATTATGCATGGGAAAAAAATATGTGAGCCGTTATCTAACCACGCTGAGGTTGTGCATACATAGACACAAAAGCGAACTTAGATGCGGACTTGCATCGCAGGAAGAAATGGCTTGAAAAAAAAAAAAGAGCGCCCATATATTTTGTAACGTATGTTTGAACATTTATAGTTTGAACAAACATTCATAGTTTGAACAATAACGTTCCTTCATGCTCCATAAAGGAGTAAAAGAAACATTCGTTCGTCCATGCCGGTAATGTATTCGGCAAAGATTATGACACTGAACCACCCCACAAAGGACATGTACAGAATGATTTGCTAATTTGCATGAGTGCACACAAATTTTGTTCAATATCTCATAAGGTCGATTATTGTAAGCACCGCGAAAAGTAACGATACACCAGCATTCTCCAATCACGAAAAGAATGTTCATATAACAGTCACCTTCTCTTTCCTCAGTGTAATGCGGGTAATATTGTGAAAGAAAAGTATGGTGTTCAATGAAGTTCTTCTTCAAGATGGCAACGACGTGATACTAGGTGAAGAAGCAAGAACCGGAAACTTATTTCAACCAGGCTTATTTCAATTTCAAAGTTCCTATTTATGTAGCACTGTCAAATAAGAAATAACATTAGCGCAAAACAGTCACTGATAACCACATGGTTAAGCTGTCATGCTCTGAACAATATGTGATGCCACTCGTGCAGGATAACTTAAGTCATCGGGTTTTACAATGAGAAAATAGGGGTCCACTTATTTTAGTGGAAGGGTATTTCCAGATCAGATCTTATACTGGCAGGATATGGCCCAAACATGGTGGATTGATTACGCATCGGTAAGTGCGCCCTCATTTCGTTTTTTGACTAAAAGACTAGTGTCACGTTGTACCAATTGCGTAGAATATGAACTAACCAACCCAGCAACATCTTTTGATAATTCACAGTATATTTGGCTTTGGCGGTGCAGAGGCATTTGAAGCGCGGGCCGGACAAATTCTGAGTAGTTAATATATATATATATATATATCATCATCATCATCATCATCAGCCTGACTACGTCCACTGCAGGACAAAGGCCTCTCCCATGTTCTGCCAGTTAACCCGGTCCTGTGCTTGCTGCTGCCAATTTATACCCGCAAACTTCTTAATCTCATCTGCCCACCTAACCTTCTGTCTCCCCCTAACCCGCTTCCCTTCTCTGGGAATCCAGTCAGTTACCCTTAATGACCAGCGGTTATCCTGTCTACGCACTACATGCCCTGCCCATGTCCATTTCTTCTTCTTGATTTCAGCTATGATATCCTTAACCCCCGTTTGTTCCCTAATCCACTCTGCTCTCTTCTTGTCTCTTAAGGTTACACCTACCATTTTTCTTTCCATTGCTCGCTGCGTCGTCCTCAATTTAAGCTGAACCCTCTTTGTAAGTCTGCAGAAAACAAAAGTAATGTACAACAACTTCGGCAAGAAGCAGCGCTTCGAGATAGGTAACAGTGCACTTGAAGTTGTAAAAGACTATGTCTACTTAGGGCGGGTAATAACCGCAGAGCCGAACCACGAGATTGAAGTAACTAGAAGAATAAGAATGGGGTGGAGCACATTCGGCAAGCACTCTCAAATTATGACAGGTAGATTGCCGCTATCCCTCAAAAGGAAGGTATATATATGTATATATATATATATATATATATATATATATATATATGAGATATAACAGACAGTAATGCCAAGAAAAAGACAGGGTTCCTGTCGAAACGTCGGCACAATAAACAGTTGTTATGTGAAAGCGCATCTACTTTCATATTTATAACCTTGCGGCAACCGAAGTTATTCTTCTGTATATATATATATATATATATATATATATATATATATATATATATATATTATATATATATATATATATATATATATATATATATATATACTTGTGTGTGTGTGTGTGTTGTGTGTGTGTTGGAGTGACATGTATGATGATTCATTTTTGCATGGCGCGTATTCACTGTTAGGATATTGACCAAGAATTGGATGGCAGAAAGTATTTAACGTAGATTTTAACAAGCAGAAAGGGACGCGAAATATAAGTTCAAGCACAACAGCAACAAGCGCACCGAGCTATCAATCTCTCCTCTTCCCTTCTCCACAAATCAATACGAGCATTGTCTTCTCTTTAATTTCACCGCTTGGTGACAAGCGCACTGCAACTATAGTACCAAAGTGGAGCGCCCGATTATTCGTGTGCTACAATTCCAATATATGTGTGCTATTCTGTGCACCTGTGTCGACTGGCAATAGCTTTTACTTTAAGCGTAGACGTAGGCATACTAGAGATTGGGAGGGGGGGGGGATTGCATGCTTGTGCATAAGGTCATGATCCTCATTATCAGAAAGAAGCAGGACAGTATAGTGAGCGCCGAAGCCCTGATACTTATACTTTATTTAGCTGTATCTTCTATTGTTCGGCATTTATGATGGTGAGAATAATTCTCCGAGCATAAGCATTT